CTTCATCATGCCTGGAGCTGATCCGTGCTGGTCGCTGAGGAAATACATTAACTTCGCGCTGTGGATCGCCGGATCAGCTTTCACCATGGACGAAGCGGAGTCCAGCCCGGGGTCGTCACATGTGGTTGCCGCAAGCCCGCCGGATGCTCCTTCGTCGAATCCGCCGGCCGCACCGTTCTCAAGCCCATCCGCCGCCGCTCACTCAAGCTGGCCTCCACTCACTCTAGGCCACCGGTCGCCGCTAACTCTAGCTGCCGGACTCTGCTCACTCTAGGCCTCCGGCCTCCGCTCACTCTAGCCCGCCGTGTGTGACACTGTGTTTCGTTGTGAAAGCGAAACTACTTTGTTTGGCCTTCCAAAAGAGGACACGACTAGAAATCATTTACAACATTGTTCCAGAACAGTTCAACCCAAATATTCAGATGTGCCCAGCGCATTTTATGGAGGACTGTTTCCTGATCCTGGTAGAGTAGACAACAATGCCAGCTTTTCTGACTCACAGACTGTAAGTACGTTTTTTATATTTAAAGAATTTGCCACTGACGATTCAAACGCAAGTTTTGAGCTGTGTTGAGTAGCGTTTGTAGTTTGTCATTTCTCTGATCACAAATGCAGACATGGTTTTATGTTTACACGGCGCGATGCAATGCAATGCGTAAAAAGACTAATTATGAAAAAGTAATTATGTCCCCACTGGATGCAACAAATGCCTCGTTTATAATGGGTTTTCATGCTTTTGAATCGTCGCTCCAGCCGGACAGGGCATCACAGTATGGTAGGGGCGTAACATTTCCGTCACATGCTTGAGGTATTCGGCCAATCACAATGCACTGGGTAGCTGGCCAATCAGAGCACACCTCACTTTTCAGAACGATGGGCTTTGTAAAAATCTACGCGTTTCAGAAAGGCGGGGGCATAGAGGAGAAACAATAATGTACATTATGTGGAAAATAATGTGTTTTTTGAACCTTAAACCGCATAAACACATTTCATTACACCAAATACACAAAATAATGTTCTTTTTAGCAACATCATATGACCCCTTTAACTATGGCCTTTCCCTCAATAAACTCCTAATTTGCTGATTATTAACAGTTAGTCAGGTAGTAGTTGTTCAATTTAGGTATTGAGTAGGATTAGGGATATAGATTATGGTCATGCAGAATATGTGCTTTATAAGTACTAATAAACAGCCAATATATTAATAATAGGCATGCTAATAAGCAACTATTTAATAGTGAGAATTGGCCCCTATACTAAAGTGTTACCAGAAATTCAACCAATAAATAGAGTTTTGTGTCTCTTTAATGTGTCGTGACAGATCGCTGTAGTGCCTCTCTTCCTCTTTACTAGTTATAGCACAAAATAAACATGAATGAACATCAGAAGGTATCTTGTTTCAACCGCAGAAAGACGTCAATACGCACCATTTTTAATGGTTAAGTCCACCGATGTTAATCTACTGGTGGTTTGTTTGTCGGACAAAATGGCAGATTCGCCGTTATGATTGGTCAGATCACCTGTCAGTCAAACTCCAGGCGAAGAGTCAGTTGGGAGTCATAAATGATAATTTCAACGAACGTCAATTTAAATGTCCGTGATGCTATTTCTACTGAGAAATAAGCAACAGTTTAGTTCACATAAGAAAAACTATTTAAAAAATAGTGCAATAATGTTTCCTTCATAACTGAGCCCTAAGAGAACATATATGCCCAAACAAGGGGGTATTTGCATTCATATATTGTGTGTGCTTACATTTCAGATTGTATCTAAACAGTACAGTGATTAACTGGGAGGTTTCCTACATGACATGACCTCATCTGTATTATAATTTAGTCTTATCGCTAAGAGAGAGGCTCTCAGTCTCTCCTGCGCATTTCTGACATGCCATGGAACTTTCTGATGGGTGGGGGGCAAACCGGGCTTCTGTCCAGGTGTGCTGTCCAGGTATTTCTGCACTCCACCCCAAATGCTTCCTGAACCTCATCCTACTCCATTTCAAAGCCCTACACCAGACTTCCCCGCTTTCTCTCTTTTTCCAGTTGCCCTGCTCTCTCTCTCTTTCTGTCCTGGCTGTCTTCCTCAACTCTGTGGAAACTCTGATATGAGTTGTGTAGGGTTATGTCTGGCATTCCTTCCTATCGTCTCACTATTCTTCAGCCTTTATGATTGTCTCCAGAAAGGGAAAGTGGGTCGGTACACAATGTTTTTCACAACAGATGATCTTGTCCCCTTGTGTTATTTTAAAAAGCATGCATCCACTACTCAACTTCACTGCATATAGTGCTTCATATTACAAGCTGAGCATAATGACCTTGAAGATGCTTGTGACACTCTATATTCTTTTAAAAGACAAATTCTTGAAAGTATAATAAAACCTAATTGTGTGGTCAAGGACATTGACAGCTCTTTGACAGCTCACTGTACTTCTAAGTGCAACAAGTAATTAATTTTCTGACTCACAGACTGTAAGTACGTTTTTTATATTTAAAGAATTTGCCACTGACGAGCTGTGTAGCTGTGTTGAGTAGCGTTTGTAGTTTGTCATTTCTCTGATCACAAATGCAGACATGGTTTTATGTTTACATGCAATGCAGACGTATAAGTCATTATAATCTGTAATTATGTCCCCACTGGATGCAACAAATGCCTCGTTTATAATGGGTTTTAATGTTTTTGTCTCGTCGCTCCGGCCGGGACAAGGCATCACAATATGGTAAGGGGCGTAACATTTCCGTCACACGCTTGAGGTATTCGGCCAATCACAACGCACTGGATAGCTGGCCAATCAGAGCACACCTCGCTTTTCAGACCGATGAGCTTTGTAAAAATAGATGCGTTTCAGAAGGCGGGGCATAGAGGAGAAACAATAATGTACATTATGTGGAAAATAATGTGTTTTTTGAACCTTAAACCGCATAAACACATTTCATTACACCAAATACACAAAATAATGTTCTTTTTAGCAACATCATATGACCCCTTTAACTATGGCCTTTCCCTCAATAAACTCCTAATTTGCTGATTATTAACAGTTAGTCAGGTAGTAGTTGTTCAATTTAGGTATTGAGTAGGATTAGGGATATAGATTATGGTCATGCAGAATATGTGCTTTATAAGTACTAATAAACAGCCAATATATTAATAATAGGCATGCTAATAAGCAACTATTTAATAGTGAGAATTGGCCCCTATACTAAAGTGTTACCAGAAATTCAACCAATAAATAGAGTTTTGTGTCTCTTTAATGTGTCGTGACAGATCGCTGTAGTGCCTCTCTTCCTCTTTACTAGTTATAGCACAAAATAAACATGAATGAACATCAGAAGGTATCTTGTTTCAACCGCAGAAAGACGTCAATACGCACCATTTTTAATGGTTAAGTCCACCGATGTTAATCTACTGGTGGTTTGTTTGTCGGACAAAATGGCAGATTCGCCGTTATGATTGGTCAGATCACCTGTCAGTCAAACTCCAGGCGAAGAGTCAGTTGGGAGTCATAAATGATAATTTCAACGAACGTCAATTTAAATGTCCGTGATGCTATTTCTACTGAGAAATAAGCAACAGTTTAGTTCACATAAGAAAAACTATTTAAAAAATAGTGCAATAATGTTTCCTTCATAACTGAGCCCTAAGAGAACATATATGCCCAAACAAGGGGGTATTTGCATTCATATATTGTGTGTGCTTACATTTCAGATTGTATCTAAACAGTACAGTGATTAACTGGGAGGTTTCCTACATGACATGACCTCATCTGTATTATAATTTAGTCTTATCGCTAAGAGAGAGGCTCTCAGTCTCTCCTGCGCATTTCTGACATGCCATGGAACTTTCTGATGGGTGGGGGGCAAACCGGGCTTCTGTCCAGGTGTGCTGTCCAGGTATTTCTGCACTCCACCCCAAATGCTTCCTGAACCTCATCCTACTCCATTTCAAAGCCCTACACCAGACTTCCCCGCTTTCTCTCTTTTTCCAGTTGCCCTGCTCTCTCTCTCTTTCTGTCCTGGCTGTCTTCCTCAACTCTGTGGAAACTCTGATATGAGTTGTGTAGGGTTATGTCTGGCATTCCTTCCTATCGTCTCACTATTCTTCAGCCTTTATGATTGTCTCCAGAAAGGGAAAGTGGGTCGGTACACAATGTTTTTCACAACAGATGATCTTGTCCCCTTGTGTTATTTTAAAAAGCATGCATCCACTACTCAACTTCACTGCATATAGTGCTTCATATTACAAGCTGAGCATAATGACCTTGAAGATGCTTGTGACACTCTATATTCTTTTAAAAGACAAATTCTTGAAAGTATAATAAAACCTAATTGTGTGGTCAAGGACATTGACAGCTCTTTGACAGCTCACTGTACTTCTAAGTGCAACAAGTAATTAATTAGCTTAAACCCCTTCATAATGGCCCCTGCAAAGCCAGACAAACCATTGGCTGAAGGTGTCCTGTTGTACATTTTAAGAAGAGGGTTTTTTTTCTCTCTGTTGTTTTGATCCGGCCAGGAAACTGGCTTTTCGAGACTTTTCAGAGTACCAGAGACAGTGGCTTCTCTCTTTTCTTTTCTTTTATTGTTAATTTTAAGTATTTCATTAGATTCATTTCATTTTCTATTAAGCTATGGACCTCACCATAAAGCCTTTACCCTTTTCTGAAAGGCATTAATAGAGTATGATGTTATGTAGAAACGATTAAAGATATCTCCCACCAACACATGACTGCTCTGTGTATCATCAACATTCTTACATTCCAGTTGTCTAGACAAAAAAAATAAAAATCTTGTAGGAAGCAATTTCAGCACTGACTTTGATTCTTCTGTGGCATTAGTAAGTGGGAAACCACTGCCTATTACAATAACAAAGATTTTGAAATCTAAAAATTCTGAGCACCAATTTTGGCAGAACTGTGTCTTAAGAGCAATCATATGTGGAGTGAAAATAATGCTGTATGTGAACTGAATAATTTATTACATCTTTTTTCATTTTTTGTTGTGCAGGAGGAAAATGAAATCCCTTCAAGTGTCTTTGTGGAGGAACCTGCACCATTACCTGAAGTGGAGGGGGAGACCCCGACCATTGATGCCAACCGTTCTCAAGAGGAGGGCCTTCAGACCATCGCCCTCTCCTCGGATGAGGAGCAGGGACCAGAAGAGGACGACGATGAAATTTTGGCCGCTTTGGACCTCGAGAGTGAAACCAGAGTTGAAAAATCTCGAGCTGAGAAGATCAAGCGCTCCAGTCTGAAGAAAGTGGACAGTCTGAAGAAAGCTTTCTCCAGGCAGAATATCGAAAAGAAGATGAACAAGTTCGGCACCAAGATTGTGTCCCCAGAGAAGCGTGAGAAAATCAAGAAGAGTCTGACACCGAACCACCAGAAGAACCCTAGTGCCAAGAGCTCCTCTTTCAAGGTCTCTCCTCTCACCTTCAACATCAAGAAGAACCGCAGTGGGGATGCTGAACCAGAGGCTGAGGCCTCAGCTCAATCCGAAAGCGCCATTGCCTCCATCGAACTGGCCCCGATTGAGAGCCCAACTGAAGACCTGTCCTTCAAAGAGGTCCACTCCCAACTTGCACAGGAGGAAGTAAAGGCAGCTGTGGAAGCAATGGAGAAAGAGGAGGTGCCCAACATCCTGAATGGCACAGCCGAGGTTGAGCTGTCGATCACAGAAGTAAGCGAGGAGTATGCTCTTTCTGCGACCCTGCCCCAGGACGCCTCCCAGATAGAGGTGCCCCACAATGCTTTACAGGGAGAGGATGAAGGGGAAGGAGAGGAGGAAAATGGAAAAGAAAGAGTGCAGAGTGAAGACAGCCCTCTAGCAGAAGCTGCAGCTGCAGGCCAAGCAGAGGGTGTTGCTGTAGGCCAAGCATCCTAATGTCCTGACCCTCCAATCCAGCCCCAGGACATCCTCCTAAACTGAAAAAGAAACTCTCTCCCTTATCAGTGCCAGCCATCCCTGCCATGAACCCAGACATCTGCCCTGTCCACACTGAATACAAACTTACAATACAGTATATTCAAAGGCAAAATACATGAAGTATATGACATTTGCTTTAAAATCCCATATCGCTGTGTTGGTCCCTAGTCTTTTAGCAGAAATGAATATGAAAGCAGTCTTATCAGTTCATCTAATCCAGCAGTCTGTTACAAACCTTCCGCTTGTGAGAAACTCACTCCAGCTGGGATTACTGCACACTCTGTCTTCCTCTGGTGGTGCTTACCTGTCAGCTGAGAAGGTTGGCAAAGGAAAACAAATCGCTTACAGCCAAAGGAGTCAACGGACGCCAAGCACACTCCATCTATCCCATGATTTTCATCCAATTCATCTCTTCTGGAATCGCCCATGCACACCTGAAAGTGATATTGATTTCATGCAACCTAGATTATTTCTAATCTTGGTCCAATTCGGTTTTGTTTTTGAGATTAAACAGCACATATATACTTCCATGTACTATGTCTGTGTTGATCAGAAATGTGTAATGTACTAAATTTTACATTTTGGTTTTAATCAAGTAACACTATGTATACTGTGAACTCATAAATACATATTGAACTTCACATATGTCTCGGGCCCTAGTCAGAAAGCGTTCTGATATATTGCTCTTTTCAGAGACCATTTCTCAAGCTCCCGTTGGCTTGATGCTGGCTGAGAAACAGGCACTGTGAGGCAGGTCTAGATTACAGGCATATTTCTGAAAGTGATGAAGGAGACGATCAGCCCAGTTGGATGCAAATAAGCCAGAGAAGTGTGGAGACTGAAAAAGTACAAAAAAATGTTAAAGTCTGTTTGGAGCGTTGAACTGAAGTTTCAAAATGTGAGAAATAACTAACCCCATGGGCTAATACCTTCATCAATTTACAATAAATGCAATTTACTGATATTTGTGCACACTTTGGCACTGGCTATCATGCAAACCCAGAAATAAAATGGTGCTGTTAGAGGATAAAGTAAAAAAAAAAAAAAAGAGCGACAGCACTGACAAATATTTTAGCAATGAGAGTACTTCTTCCTAAAAGTTTGGTCCATATTAGGCTATAATATAAAACATAGTAACAAGTCGAAATCTATTTTTGTGTTTGTGATATAATTTTTTTTCTTCTGCACAACGCAAGTAATTAGAGCATATTTTTAATTTCACTATTCCAGTGCTGAACAAAAACATAAAAGTGTGTGGCTTTGCTTTGGGTGGATGTCTCTTTCAGATGTGAAAAGGGATGAGGTTTTACTTCTTTTGAGTCTTTTAAAAATATAACAAACTTTAGCAAATTTTTGCTGATGCTTGTAATCCCTCATCTGTATTTGCATATCCCTTAAGATGTTAATTGTGTCGATGACTTCATAATATATAAGAGAGCTATATGTTGTCTTGGTTATCATATTTTAAAAACATTATGATTCATGCCAAAGTAAAGGCTCGGTTATAGCAGAGACCTCATAACGTTTCTGTGACACCTGTTTACCAAGTTGCTATTGAAGCACGCTCTGTTCAAATTATTCTTATAATGCAAATAAATAAAGATTTCAACCATGTCTTTTTGCATCTATCTTGTTCCTTGGAATCTTTAGTATGCTTTTCAAAGTCCTTACAGAAATAGACTCTAACCTACAGGAGAGGCTTTGATTTTAAGGTCAATACGTTTTTAAAAATAACATGTCCTGCCATTTCTAATTACATTAATATATAAGCGTCTAATATGAACATGACAAGACTTATTAAGTGGCCTTACAAACTCATCAGTAATGCCAAATGCGTCTCACCAGCATTTTCATAGTAAATTGTTGATTTATAAATTCCTCGCCTGTGCATTTAGGATATCTGTTTCAGAACAATCATATTAACTATTTTGTTATGTCAAGGTCAGGCTTGTGTAATCTCTTGCACCATGTTTCATCGTGAAGAGTGGTTAAATCAAATTCACACCCTCTGTGTCATAGAATCTATGACACACTCCTAAGCACTAGCGCCATCTGGCGTTATTGAATCAAGTAAAACTGAAAAAAAGAAAGAAAATAACAAGCGATGTAAATGCTAATATGAGACCCAACTTTATAACTAGACCATCTTTCAGAGTATGTTTGGCTATTCTATCGAATAAAGTGATGTATGTTTTCCAAATCATTTATTTTGTCATCTGTTTGTTTATTTGAATTGATGTCGAGAGGCATTCTAAATACGAGTTTTACCTCTAAAACAGTTTAACATTTTACATTTTCTATATTTTATTCATCCACCATAAAAAAAAGACGTTTATTTGCTCGCTAAAATCACATTTTCACATACTGATCAATAGATGGAGCTGTTCTACCACATATCTCTTGCAGTCACGGTGGCCGAGAGGTTAAGGCGTTGGACTCGAAATCCAATGGGGTTTCCCCGCACAGGTTCGAATCCTGTTCGTGACGATATTTTTTTTTTTTGCAAAACTACGATTATTACTTAAACAATTTATACCACACCAAAGGGTCGAACAAACTGTTGTGTGAATATGTTTATTCACTTTTTTATTCTTACAAGAAATGCACATATTCGGCTGTAGAAACATGTTTGATTTCATTTCTTTCCCTGTTTAATATGTTAATATGACTGAGTTGTGCTTCAATTTAAAATGAATCGCCGTATAGAGGCCTGGCACAATCAGTCATCTAAACACAAGGCAGTCTGAGGTGGCAGGCAGTGTGGGTTTGAGCAAATTTGAACGGAATTTCTTTCTCTTGTTTTAGAATGGCAAACGAAAATGTGTGCCTGATTAAAGATCTTAAACCTGGATTGAAAAACATTAACTTGGTTTTCATCGTCCTGGAAACTGGTAAGTCATACTTGCTTGGGAAACGTTTGCTGTTTTTGTTTGTTGTTTTATTTACAACCAAACGCGGCCTACACGATTGCTTGCTATCCTCATTTTTAATAACGCCAGTCGTCTGTTCAAGTAATCTGAGTGAGAACAATATCATATAAACCTTCGGTTTCATAACCGAAACAAAAAAGAGAAAGTAGTAGTTTTCAAGTAGCGAATCCGTGAACAAAGCATTCTTATGAGTTTGATCTATTCTGTGAATCGGTTGAACGGGTTCACGAATCGAACTGAATCGACTCGTGCGGTTCTCGAGTCACCATCCGAAATGGCTCACTTTATTTCGTGCAATACTTGCTGATATATCGCCATGTGAATTAGTGAATGTGTGAACGAGTGAGCAATTGTGGAGACAGCTATAGCGTTGTTTTATATGTAAATTAGTTTTAATAGGCCGGTTATGTTTAATGTAAACTCTTCATTGCAGCGGTCTGACTTAAAGGGGTCATATGATGCTGCTAAAAATAACATTATGTGGTGTAATGAAATGTTTATGTGGTTTAAGGTTAAAAAAACACATTATTTTTCACATACTGTACATTATTGTTTCTCCTCTATGCCCCGCCTTTCTGAAACGCGTCGATTTTTACAAAGCTCCATCGGTCTGAAAAAGCGAGGTGTGCTCTGATTGGCCAGCTATCCAGTGCATTGTGATTGGCCGAATACCTCAAGCGTGTGACGGAAATGTTACGCCCCTTGCCATATTGTGATGCCTGCGCAACCACATGTGACGACCCCGGCTTCGTCCACGGTGAAAGCCGATCCGGCGATCTACAGCGCGAAGTTGAAGTATTCCCTCAGCGACCAGCACAGATCAGCTCTAGGCATGAGGAAGCGATATCGTCCTCTTTTGGAAGACCAAACAAAGTAGTTTCACTTTCTCAACGAAACACACAGCGTCTTACGACATGGCGGCGGCAGCAACAACAATACTACAGCGAGAATAAAAGTTACGCCTTCTTTCTTTGCGTGAACATTTGTTCGGCGTTATGCAAATCTTCCCACATAGTGATGTAGACATGTGGGGGCGTGTTAGAACGAGCTGTTTTAGGTAGGTGTGGTTGACTCTTAACTTTTATAAAGAATATCTCTTTGGATTTGAGACTTTACAACTTTACAGATCTTCTTTATGCACCAAGAGCTTGTAACACTCCAAAGAGAAAGGAAAAATTTAAATCACATCATATGACCCCTTTAATTAACTTACATCCCAACAGTTTTTTTTTTTTTTTTTATGAACCGGTTCTTTGAAACTAACTGAAAGAACTGATTAATGGAAATAGTTCGATAAACAATTCACCTACTGTACATTTCAAGTATGGTCCATCTATGTGCTTCTTGAACAAAATGTGTCAGGTCGAGTATCTAAGACAAAGGATGGACACGAAGTGCGTTCATGTAAAGTAGCTGACAGGACCGGAAGTATTACCATATCAGTGTGGGACGAAGTGGGCAGCCTGATACAAACTGGAGACATCATCCGACTCAATCGAGGGTGACAGTTTATTATTGATGATATTATTAATCCTGATAATTATATGCGTCTTATATAGAAGGTTTTGATTTGTTCTTTATTATTATGGTGTTATTGTATTTCAGATATGCATCTCTCTTCAAAGGCTGTCTTACACTGTATATTGGGAGAACAGGGGACCTTCAGAAGACCGGAGAGTAGGTCTTCACAGCTGATTGAATTTAAGTGCTTTGACACCAAAACGATAATGACAATAACCAGCACTTTCTTGCATCTATCGAAGGTTCTGTATGATTTTCTCAGAGGTGCCAAATTTCAGTGAGCCCAACCCAGAGGTGCTGGCTAAAATCAATCAAATAAACAACACCCACGTGAGTGCACAAATACTGCTCAGAGGGCATGAACAGTTTGAGCACATATAAATGAGTGTCTATTTTATCTCTTAACAGGTCAAAACAGAAGCTTATGGCAGCACTCCCAGTATACCGAATCCTGGGCCTCCTGCTGGACCTACAGGTTGAACCTTTACAAGCTTGAAATATTGTTTGACAAATTGAATATTTGTTGCAAATGATCATGTTTGATTTAAAGGGGTCATATGATGCTTTTTTTAAAGATCATTATTTTGTGTATTTGGTGTAACCGAATATGTTGACATGCTTTAATGTTCAAAAAACACATTATTTTTCAAATACTGTACATTATTGTAGGTCCTCTATGCCCCGCCTCTCTCAAACGCTTAGTTTTCTACAAAGTCCCTCCTTCCTACAAGCGCAGTCTGCTCTGATTGGCCAGCTGACCCAGTGCATTGTGATTGGCCGAACACCGCAAGCACTCGTCGGAAATGTAACCCCCCTTACCATAATCGCGAGCTTCATCTTTAAAAATAAATGTAAAGACAGAACCAGAAAGGGGAACAGAGTTGCGTGACAGACAGTGATGAAGCTGGTGTTTATTATTGTTATATTTATAAATGATGTTAATTTTTCTGTGTAAAATAAAAATACTGATTACATCGCTGCAAGTGCTTATGCCAGCTACAGTTGTATTGCATTGTGCAGGGTATCACTCGACACTATTTTTAAATGTATTACTCCTTAACAAACATCTTCAAAAACAAATATCCACAGTAATTCCTCCATCCACCCATAACCAGCCATGCATTTCCATCAGGATACTTGTTCAGGACGCAAAGACCTCTTAGTAAAGTTATTCGTAGTCGAGTTCGTGGTCACAAGGATCAATGGCACAGATAAACTTTAATTATTAAAATAATCCTGGCCTGTCTCTGCTCTCTTGGCCACATAGCAGGCTCATAATTGTATGGCTGTGGTCCATTATACGAGTATGAATAAACATTTACAATGTCCTCAGCGATCCATTGTTTTCCTCCCGTTACGTCACTTCCGGTTTTGGTGTTTTTCAGATGCGGAAGTTAAATTTACTCACAAAAACGACTCCAGAAGCCTCAAGTAGCGTATTTATAAGTATATTCCTATATTATTATTCTAAACATTGACTCACTGGGTCTCTAACCTGCAATACGTAACGTTACTTTAAGAGCAAAAGGATACCATCCACATGGCCGTTTGAATGGCTCATTACCCCGCATGCAATTGGAGCCACTGTTGCCAACTAATTTTCAGGGGAAGTTGCTAAAGGAAGGTCGATTTGTTGCTAAATGGCGTTGTGATGTCATTGCGTGATGACGTCATTACTATAATTTTATAGTAATGTAATTTTATGTAATTTTATTACATAAAAGTGTGTCGCTACATCAAATCTCAGTAAAAAATATATTTTTATATGTTAATTTAGATTTGTTCGTAAAATAATATAAATGCATAATATAATGTAAAAATATAAATAACTTTGAATATACAACATTGAATTATTGAACGAACACTTACACATTTTTGAAGGATTACAAGTTTTTTTATTGGATAATGTCCTGGAAAATTACTAGAAGCCTACCTTTTTCATTTTTTTAGATATTTTTCTTTCAGTGCATTGATCAACAATCACAGGTACAACAAGGTGTATCATAAATGAACAATTATTAAATTATTATTACTATCAAATTGAACAATTGCAAATAGCAATAATTTAATTCACGTGATGTGTGTACTGCTAGGCATCTTTGGTTTCCTCTTTTTGTCGAATTTAGATGGAAAATGTGTGCCTTTTATTGTTCAAGTCACTTATCAAAAGTTGCTAAAAGTAGCCAAATAAAATTTAAAAATAGCTACATTTGTTGCTAGGTGCTTTTGGAAGAAAAAGTTGCTAGGGTAGTCTGAAAAGTTGCTAAATTTAGCAACAAAATTGCTAAATTGGCAACACTGTTTGGAGCGGTCTCCTGTGTTAGTGAAATCAAAATCAAAGCGTGGGTCGAAGAATTCGCCCATGCCCACAAACATTTCCTGACGTAGGCTACATCTGAGATGAAACGTGCCACTTTCGCTTGGTTTGAAAGTGTAGCAGTTGATAGGCCTTTAAATATTTGCCCAAAGCAATTGACAGAAAAGTATGTATACTGTTAAGCAGGGGCGTCATGCACTCATTATTTTTGAGGGGGCACAAGTGGGGGTCGTCATGTGCAGCCGCAATAGCACTCATGTTTTATTTTAAATTTTTTTCCTTTTTATTCGAAACATTCCCAAAGGCATAACTAACCTATATCATGAAATATCTCGATTTTGAATAATAAAAAATGTAATTTTGAGTTTATATTTCAAAATTCTGACTTTTTTCTTGCAATTCCGAGATTATATCTCACAATTCTTGTAAGAAAAATCAACTCGTCATTCTTTCTTTTTAGTTTATAATCTCAAACTTCTGGCTTTTTTTTCCTCAGAATTGACAAACTCGCAATTGTTGACTTGATGACTTTAAAATAAAGTTATAAAGTCCGAAATAGGAGATATAAACTTGCATTTAGCAAGAAAAAAAGTCAGAATTGTGAGATAAAATAGGTAAATGTTACTAAAACCTGTCTGTTTACTTAATTGACAGATATGGGTGTCATGTCATAACATATTTTTAATGCGTCTGACTTTATATTTAATGTGAATTTAACATTGAAAGTTAATGTGAATAAAAACATTGTAAGTTAGGCTACTTATCATAACACTTTCAGTGTACAAGAAAGAGAGCAAAGAACATTTACATTATCAAGGAACATTTTCACTGACAGTCTAGAGTTCAAGAACTCTCAAAATCTCCCATTAAAATCACTGAAGCTGTTTACACTATGAAATTAATATCTTACAGATTCATACCCACGTCTGCAGTTTGTTGTTTCTAACGAGAGAATTCGCCAGAAAGAGGTATTCAGACAGCGAGCGAAAGAAAACACCGGCATTTTAGCGATGACTCATCTGAACGCCTCTGATTGGTCATTGCATTCATAAGCTCAACAGCATCGTATGTGATTGGTTATAATGCGCAGCGCTGTAAAAACGCGTCTGGCTCAGCGCCAGCGCAGCGAACGCAGATTTGAATTTAGCAGCTGATGATGTGATGCACTGAGCGATTTTATCATGCTGGTGTGTGATTGTATCAAATATAGAAAATATTATTCAGCTATTTTTTTGTCTTTTGGAAGCTGCATTCAAAATCCACTTGGCTCAAAAATCTTTTAAAATTAAAGTTTTTTGGGTGTTAGTATCAATATGTTAGTCTTAAGGTTATCTATAAGGCAGTGTGCTCCAAAGCAGTGACAAAATTCGCATTTAGAAGACATAAGCATTCAAAAATTGCAGTTTGTCACTTCCGCCAAAACGGCGCAACGATTTTTTTGACGTCACATCGTACTTCAGCTTCTCATCAAACTTTCTGTCCAATCAAATGCTCTCTAGAATCTGAAGCGCCCGCCCCCAACACTATAAAATAGACTCTGAAGCCGCGGCTGAAATCGGTAACAGAATTAGTATTTTCTGTACAATGAATGGCACGTAGTGCACTATATAATATCGGGGACAGGGAACGATTCAAACAGTGTAAATATGCTTTCCATTGAGGAAAAAAAAAAGTCTGGTTTCGCGCTGTGTCACGCTAAGCACCGCACGCACACTCTGCTCCGGTCACAAAATGTATCGGAGCTATTTGAATTCTACACGGAATGCTATATTTTATAGCAATATGGATGAGATTGTGGCTGGCATACCCTAAATGCGGCTTTACGGAGCTCAACAGCTCTCTCTCTGGTTTTATTGGCGGGTCGCAACCAACTTGTTCAGGTGCATACCGCCACCTACTGTACCGGGGTGTGCAACTTCAGGGCTTCATGTACTTAGCATAGTTATAATCATAAAAAATCAATTTCCTATATGCTGTGCCCTGTATCTTTAAGAAAATTAAAGAGAGCCTTGCTACATTCCCACATTTTCTCATCTGCCCCCAAAATCCCCTTCAAACTCCATTCTTGTTCCAACTCATATATCTTATCTTGCAAGATCCTCCTTTCTGCATTATATTTTTTACACCTCATAATGATATGCTCCACATTTTCTGGAACATTACAGTCATCACAATTATCTGATATGCATTTTCCCATTAAAAACAGGGTTGATTTTAAATCCTAAAATTATGGCTACTACTTCAGCTGTAAATACTGATAATTTGTCATTAATTCTTTTGCATATGATTACATCAAACTCTGGTGTGTACACTCCTACTCCTATATGATCATTCCTTGAATCTTTAGATCCATCAGTAAATATTGGTATATACTGATAGTAGTTCTGCTTAACGTATTCCTGAACCAAATATCCAATATTATCAGCATTCGTTTCTACGGTGGCCGAGAAGTGCAAAGCAAATCACAATTCTGAAAACAAAATAACAAATTACAAACGCAAATGCAAGTCTAATAAACAAAATAACAATTCAGAAAGCACAACAACAATTCAGAAAACATTATAACAAGTCAGAAAACACAATGACAAATTCGAAAACAAAATGACAAGTCAGAAAACGCAACGACAAATCAGACAAACCGGAAGAGGTAGGTATAGTTTGAGACAGCGCCATTGGTTTGGGATTACCCACCGCTGACTGAACGAGACATCTGTCAATCAAAAAATATGGAGTGTCTATTTACATTGAGTTAAAAGTGGCTACAAAATGTCAACTCCTTTTCAAATCTCGTATCACATCGTAAAGGCATTTATTTTCAATAAAAATTAAGGAAATAATCAAAAAGTCGAAAATAAAGTATCGGGTAGGGTTAGGGTAGGTGTAGGGAGG